TTAGTGGTGGTGTGCTGGTGATGTGTAATTTTCCAGCGGGCACGAAGAGGGGTGTGAATGACCCGGATTTTTTTTTTCCAGGGCAAGAAGTGATTGCCCCGAATCAGTGATCCGCCGCATGGTGCGGAAGCTCAAGGCCGCATGGTACGGCGGATGAGATAATGGCCAGTTTGCCTTAGCAAAAGGGTTCGAGGAAGGTTCCTCTTGTGGAAAATGCCAGCGTTAATTGGGGGGTTCGGCTGGCATCCCATTATTGTCTGGTTCAGTGCTGAACCGCTTATATCGAGCCTGGATAACCTTTCACGCGCTTATCAATGAAGGTTCGAGGGTGGTCGATTTACTGTAGCCCATACGGGGAAACCGTTTTTTTTAATGCCTGCCGAAGTGGGCCTTGACGTTTACGTCGGAAGGGTTGCGTAGAGTCGTTTCTAGTGGTATAAGGAACATATGAAGGAACATTGTGTGTTATACTTATGGAGAAGACATGTTAGAGAAAAGTATAATTGCGTACATGTTTCTACGCTTGTCTAGTTATTAAAAGGGAACGATTCGGACAGTGATGATACTTTTTTATTATGATAAAAAATATTTTTTAGCTCCATCTTACTATATTGCACCATCCAATTAATATAGTGGGTTCATTGTTTTTAGCTGTAGTCTATAACGTGGTTATGCGTGTGTTTCACGTGACACGACTTTCAAATTAGTTTCTTGCTCATATTTCTACATATACACCTAAATGAATTATTGTCCATGCCTAGTTGTTTATTCTGCCCTAACGATACAATCACCTTAACAATGTGAATCGCATCTGCCCCAAACATTACACACTATTCTAACGAGAAACATATGTATTGTTTCCTTTCACACTTGTCAACTCGAATTTGACGCTCGTCTCTTCTTGGTTCTTGGTTCTTGGTCAGTTCTTGGTTCTTGTAACTACCTACAATAGCTATCCCGTTTTCTCAACACCCCGCCGTCGCCTCTCCTCCAATCCCAGTGTATCCTCTCCCTCCCATCCCGCCAGCGCCTCTCCCTCCTCCCAACCGCCGTCGCCTCTCCCTCCCATCCCGCCATGGCCTCTCCCTCCCGCCCCGTCATAGCCGCTCCCTTCCTCTTCGCCGTCGCCTCTCCCTCCCGCCCCGTCATAGCCGCTCCCTTCCTCCTCGGCGTCGCCTCTCCCTCCCTTCCAGTCGTCGCCTCTGGTGGGTGCACGAGCGTGAGCGCGTGTTGCTGAACGACCTCGCGTTGTTTTCACCGTTGTCTCACGTGCGTATACGTTTCTTGGACCTTTTTACCTCCCTCCTTTTCTTAGGTTTTCTACTTTCTTCGTGAGTTCTCTATGACGAATTTCATTAGCATTACACTCCCATTGCTCTCCTGTTTGGTCGCCTAATGCGTTGGCGCCTAATGCGCTGGCGCCTAGCGCGTTGGCGCCTAAGGCCCTGGCGCCTAAGGCGCTGGCGCCTAGCGCGCTGGCGCCTATCGCGCTGGTGCCTAGCGCGCTGGCTCCTAAGGCGCTGGCGTCTAGCGCGCTGGCGCCTAGCGCGCTGGCGCCTAAGGCGCTGGCGCCTAGCGCGCTGGCACCTTGCAGCGTGCCGCGCGCTGGTGGCTTGTGCGCTGCTTGTTGCGGCAGTGCGCTGGCGAATTCCTGCGGCGGCCTTGCAGCGCTGCGCGCTGGCAAATTATTGCGCACGCCTGCTCCAGTGAGGTCACGCCTTGCTGCAGTGAGGTCACGCGTTGCTCCAGTGAGCTCACGCCTTGCTGCAGTGAGCTCACGCCTTGCTGCAGTGAGCTCACTCCTTGCTGCAGTGAGCTCACGCGTTGCTGCAGTGAGCTCACGCCTTGCTGCAGTGAGCTCACGCCTTGCTGCAGTGAGCTCACGCCTTGCTGCAGTGACCTCACGCCTTGCTGCAGTGACCTCACGCCTTGCTGCAGTGACCTCACGCCTTGCTGCAGTGACCTCACGCCTTGCTGCAGTGAGCTCACGCCTTGCTGCAGTGAGCTCACGCCTTGCTGCAGTGAGCTCACGCCTTGCTGCAGTGAGCTCACGCCTTGCTGCAGTGAGCTGACGCCTTGCTGCAGTGAGCTCACGCCTTGCTGCAATGAGCTCACGCCTTGCTGCAGTGAGCTCACGCCTTGTTGCAGTGAGCTCACGCCTTGCTGCAACTCTCTGGCTCCTTGTAGCATGGTGCTTCAAACCACGATTGTGAGTCGTAAAATTCGGTTTCCTTTTGTACTTATCATATTTATGTCAGAATCCCAACCACTAGACCATTGGGATAAAAGGGCTTGTTAAGTAGCGGGTCAGTGCGCCCATAACCCCCCAGGCCAACATGCCTGTAACCCTTCCCTAGGATCAAACGGGGATCACCAGTGGACCTCTGACACCCCCTCGCACTGGGATGCCCGAAGTGCACACACTGGGATTCGAACCCGAGACCTTCGCTCTGATACCATGTCAGAATCCCAGCCACTAACCACTGGGATAAAAGGGATTGTTGTGTAGCGGGTGAAAGTGGCCATAACCCCCCAGGCCAACATGCCTGTAACCCTTCCCTATGACCAATCGGGGATCACCAGTGGTTAGTGGTATTAATTCACTTTCATTTTCTACTTGACCTGTTTGTGCAAGGTGTGCGAGACGCGTAGTGGGGAGCACCAAGGGGAATTCGATAGAGAAGACAATGTGGAAAAGGGTGGGAGGAGATTTTGATGATAGAGGGAGAGGAAGGAAGGCGGAAAGGGGGAGGAAGTGGGGACAAGGTAGCAGTGATTGATAATAATTAACTTATTGCAACTCTTTGTTATGCTTGTCTGCTCTCAATCCTATTTGTGTATGCGTGTGTGTGCCGTGCGGGTGTGTTCGTGCGGGTGTGTGTTCATGTCTTCTCGTTGTGTTTGTTTCGCTGTGGGGTTGCGTGGGTTGTCGATTACCGTATGTGGGTTGAACGTTTTTTTACGTGTGTTTGCATTCGTGTTTGTGGGATGTGTGTTCAAAAGTGTGGTGTTAGTATGTGTCATGTATGCAATTAGAGGTTGTTAATCGTCTTTGGGGCAGCGTGTTTTCGCTGTTTCAACGACCCCATCAACCTCTGTTGTTGCATGATGCATTTTAACATTCACTTTGAAGCATCCACCCACATTTCATACTTCGTTGTTCATCTGTACAATCATGTTGACGCCAGAATATTATGCTCGGCCGTACCATCCGCCGTATTAATCGACGATGCTGGGACGGTCGAACAAGTTCATGGTTTCAACATGATACGCACGTGCATAGTATTTGGTTTCACATTTAGAGATATCATTCAAGAGTTTATTCACTCTTTGAGGCATCCGTTTGAACACAGTTTCAGAAAGTTCAAACAGGTGCTCCAAAGAGTGCATGGAAAATCACAGTTGAATTGATATCCCCAAAATGTGAAACCAAATATAAAGGGTTGCTACGCAACCCAAAAAAGCTGGGAGGCGTGGGGTGGGGGGATGCTGGTTGGAGCTAGGAACTTGCAAATCAAAGACTCGGAGCTCTCAGGGCTGTCTGAAACTTTTTCTGAGGTATGTCTAGGTGCTGCTGTTCCCAAGGTTTTCTGGTGGGCTTTCGGTGCGAAGGCGGGAAACCTGGTGAAAACATCGAATTCGAGCAGGTTTTTTGTTCATAGATGCCGAGTGATGCGATTGGTGCGTAAGGGTTGCCAGCTGGGAAAGAAACATTTGTCACACCCGACAAGCCTATGACTTGACTCCTCCTGATCTAACCTCCTCGGAAACTCCAAACGGGACAATAAGGAACTCTGTGTTTGTCCCCCTCGCTCGTTCCCGCTTCGTGCACAGAGATCCGTCTTGTGACGGACGTTGTCGAACCTTAAGTTGATAACTCTCGTTGTTGCCCGGAAGCGACGGGCGGTACCGAGTGCGATGAAGAAGGGAATCCACCCCGCCCTGCAGTGGCTCAGCCTCGTCACGCCGCAGGGCCACCTCGTGCGCGTGCTCTCCGCGCAGGTGTTCAAATCCGACCGTCCGTTCTACATCCACGACCCGGGCAAGAAGGCGGAGACGGAGGGCCATGCAAAGTTCAACAAGCGGTACAACATCCAGGCGAAGGACGCGAAGGAAGCAAAAGAGGCAAGGATACGAAAGAGTAGAGCTACGCAGGTAACTCACCAGCAGCTGTACTTATCTTTGTTTGAACGGGATGCTTCTCGATCAGATCGCCAAGTTGAAAAAGCGGTGCAGCATCCGGGCGAAAAGGGCGAAGGAGGCGAAAAGGGCGAAGGAGGCAAAGCAGTAGGGCTAGCGCAGTTATGCAGGTATATCGGCCTAGATTTCTGAGCGGGAGCTCTAGGGTCGGATTGCGAAGTTCAACATTCGGTGTAACACCACGACGAATGCAGGCGAAGGAGGCTTCCTTTCGCAGATTCTTCGAAACCTCGAACATACCCCTTGCAGGACCTGACTAACTATTTTTCAAGCTTTCTCCCTTGTCTTTACGATGACCCTTTTTCAGCCGGCAGGTGGATGGCAGCCGCCACGTCAGCATGCGATGGAATGACGTCAGCGCGTGGCGGGCCGCCAACGAATTCACCAGGCGTAGCTGCGAGGGGGGGCATGGCGCGGGGAGAGGGGGGAGGCATGACTCGGGGGAAAATTCTTACAGGGATGATGTGTGGTGCAATGGGGTTGGAATGGGTGGTGAAGAGGGAGATGAAGATCGCATGGGTGGTAGGGCACAAGAAGGAGGTAGGCATGGGGAAAACTTCTGCGAGATTGATTGGGTTTCTGATAGGACTAGACAGCTTAGGTTATCAGATTCGCCGGAAAAAACAGGGAGCACAGTGCATTGCGTTAGAAACAGTGTAGAGACAAGATGCGGTGTAGCAAGTCATGCCATAGCAGGGACGAGGGAGGGGGAAACGGCTGGCTGTGCAGCAACTAGTTCGCCTGAGATTAGGGTTAGTGTAACCGCGTTACAACAATCTCACAATCGTCCACCTACAAGGATGCAAGGACCGTCTAAAGAAGGACCGCAGGGGAGTAGGATACAGGAGCATACTCCCTTCCATCATCCACAAGGGATCTACCCTGCCTTGCCCTCTCTACCGCCGCCACATTCTTACGGGGAGACGGCCGTTGAGGCGCCTGTAGAGCAGCAGGAGTATGCTTCAGTGGGGACAAGTTTTGAGGGGTCCGCAGGAGGCACGCAGGGTTGTGCTTGCCACGAGCAGCAAGGGGGATACTTTGCCCTGCCCTCGCAGTCTCAACCGGACTTCGAGCGTTCGTATGGGGAGGCGGAGACGGACTTTGAGGCGCCTCAACAGCAGCAGGAGCATGGAGGCGCTCCAATGGCAGCGCGCCACGTGGCGGAGCTGTCGCCGTCCCTGCACAGGAACCCAGAGGGATGGGATGAGGCGCTGATGGGATCTCTAGAGGCGGATCCTCTAGAGCGGTGCATGGTGGGGGGATGATCAGTGCCGGGGTGGATGAGGGAGGGATGAATGGCGCATGGGTGAAGGTGGAGGGATGAATGGAGCTGGTGGAGGGGTGCATGGTGGAGGGAATGGTGGTTGCATGCATGGTGCTTCGCTCCCCCACACCTCTCCTGCACAGTTCCTCTAGTATGCCTCCACCTCCTGTCTCCTCCACCTCCGCTCCTTCCCCCCCACACCCGCTTCCACCCACCCATCCCATTCCGGCCCTCCCTTGTCTCCTTCCCCCTCGGTTCCCGCGCTCTCCCCCGCCACCACCACTGCGCCAGCGCCAGCGCCCCTAACCCCGCCTCTGCGCTGCTGCCTCGCTGCCTCATGCCCAACCCACATGCACTCTCACTCCGCCCCTTCTCATTCTGTTCGCTCTCATTCTGCCCCTCCTGTTACACCTCCCTTCCATGCGGCACACAAAACCTGTCAGTGCAGCAACATGCACCATCCATGTCCACATCCCTGTCAGTCCCACGCCCTTCATTCCCATATCTGTCCGTCACATACCCTTCAACCCCGCACTTTGCAACCCCACACATGTCAACCCCATTCCTGCCTATCCCATAAATGTCTCGCCTATCCCTGTGTTGAGGCGCCTCAACGGTCCTATCAGGGCAACCCACACAGTGCAAGCCCATGCCAATCACTTCCCTGCCCTGACTCCCTTCGCCCTTATCCTGGTTCCCCTCGTCCCACTCCTGAGGCGCCTCAAAGGCCCGGGTCCCCTCGTCCCACCCACAAGCTGTCCCCTGCCCCTTATCCTACTCCCTCTCACGTCTCCTCTTCTCGAACCTCCTCCTCCTCCTCATGTCCTCGCCCTCCCATCTCGTCACCCCTCCCACCTGCTTCCTCTGCACCAGGCTCGCAGCAGCCTTCCTCTTGTTACAGTCACACCAGCACTGCTGCCGACAGCCATAGACATGCCAATCATGGACATGACAATCTGCATCGCTGTTGCCAGCATTGCACTCACTGCAAATGCTGTCAGCACCAGCACCACCAGCAGCAGCATCAGCAGCACCAGTAGCAGCACCACCACCAGCAGCAGCAGCAGCACCAGCAGCTGCAGGGACTATCCCACACTCCCTCCGCCTCCTTCTCGTCCTCCTCGCTCCCCAGTATCATCTATCGTGTTATCAACCCAGGGGACATGGCAGATCTCAAGGCACAGCAGCAGCAGCACGTGTTGTGTCACATTCCTTGTGCCTCACTTCCCAGTGTGGCCTATCGTGCTATCACCCCAGGGGACATGGCAGATCTCAAGGCACTCCATGAAGCCACCTTCCCCATCGCGTAAGGCTCTCACACGATCCGCACATTTCTCACACGACCCGCACGCATTTCTCACACGACCCACAGACATTTCTCGCATTTTCTCCGTGACTGTTAGTGTCACGCTACAGTAGATGAACCTGTTAAAACACGACTCGGTAACGGAGCATGCTATTTTTTGTCGTCTCATGAACAGGTGTCGTTTGGGCTAGAACAATAGAAAATACAGAATTTTTGTGATTTTGGATCAGAATCTCCTCGCGCTATCATCCTCTCCTTCCGTTCCCCTCCCCCTTCCCCCTCACCCCTCCTTTCCCTCAGGTACCAGGCGCAGTTCATAAGTTGACAAAAGAAAGAGACAGTGAGCTGCACCACAGGGCATCATCTCAAGGGGTGTGGTGGACCCAAACTCACCTTCCCATCTGCTCTCCTTGGCACCCCCATCTCCCCCTCTCCTCCCTGCCCATTAGGCACGAGTCAGAGTTATATTCTAATGTCGGGCATCACAGGGGCATCATCTCATGGGGCACGGTGGACCCGTGCAAGTCGGACAGGCTCGTGGGGTTCATCACTGCCCGCTTGGTCCCGCCAGCAGAGGCGCAGGTGGGTGCCTGGTGTGTAAGGGTTAGGGATGGGGTGCAGCATGGGGTGCAGCGTGGGGTGCAGCATGGGGTGCAGCATGGGGTGCAGCGTGGGGTGCAGCATGGGGTGCAGCATGGGGTGCAGCATGGGGTGCAGCATGGGGTGCAGCATGGGGTGCATGGCGTGTAAGGGTTAGGGATGTGTGCATGGGTTGTGGGTGCATCACAGGGGCATCATCTCATGGGGTGCGGTGGACCCGTGCCAGCCTGACAGGCTCGTGGGTTTCATCACTGCCCGCCTCGTCCCGCCTGCAGAGGCGCAGGTGGGTGCAGCATGGGGTGCATGGTGCATGAGAGTTACATATGGGTGCATGGGTGGTGGTTGCAACACTGGGGCATCATCTTATGGGGCGCCGTGGACCCTTGTCAGCCGGAACGGCTCGTGGGGTTCATCACTGCGCGCCTGGTCCCACCAGCAGAGGCGCAGGTGGGGGAGGGAGCAACATGGAGGGGGGGGGGGTTGCAGAATGGGGTGCATGGCATGGCAGGGCGAGGGATGTGAGCATGCATGACGGGTGCACCAGATAGGGGCATCATCTCATGGGGCGCCGTGGACCCGTGCAAGCCTGACCGGCTGGTGGGCTTCATCACTGCGCTCCTGGTCCCACCAGCAGAGGCGCAGGTGCTCTGTGGCAGGAGGGGGGGAAGGGGGGGAGCTGGGAGGGAGGGTGGGGGTCGGATGATACATGGGGTGCAGCGTGTGTGCATGTGTGGGCATGAACTCTCGAGCTGCAGTTGTCCTGTGTCAGTCTGAGAGACTGGAGGCTGAGAGGCTAAGGGAGGGGGGAAGGTCACTATTGCCCGCCTGGTGCTTCTCTGTGGCAGGGGGGTGGGGGGTTTGAGCATGGGGGGGTTGAGGAGGAAGAAGCATGGAGGGAGGGTGCAATTGAGTCAACTCATCATCTTGCTTCCTGCTGCGTCTGTTGTGTATACCAACATGTTCATTCCCCTCTCACTCTCACTCTCTCTACACTTGCTTTCACCTCCCTGACACACTTCTCCCCTGCACTCGTCTTCCCCTCCCCATCATCTCCATCTCAGGGGGTGGACGTGCTGCCTCTCACTCCTCCCTCGCCCCTCCACACCCCATCGCCTTCTCTCCTCTACATTCTCACGCTCGGTGTTTCCAAGCCCTACCGCAAGGCTGGCGTGGGCAGCCATTTCCCATTGCTCTTTGAAATTTCCATCTGCTGTACTCTCGCCCTCTTCCGCCCTGCACTGCATAGCCTTCTATCCCCGCTCCCTATGGCACCCCTCCGCTCCCCTTCCCTCCCACCATCTGTCCTTCCTCTTCCTAGCTTCCTGCCCCCACAGCAACCCACCTGGTGTATCTGCTGCTCTCACACGCCCCCTCCCTCACTCTCCTACTGCACCCGCCTCTCCTTCCCTCTCAGAAGCCTGCCTCACCCCTCCTATCCCTCCCCTCTCACCACCTGCCCCTCCTCATCCCGCCTCCCTGTCCCCGCAGCATCCCACCTGGTGCATCTGCTGCTGTCCCACGCCTCCCCCCTCTCGCACTGTGCGGCAGTCTACCTGCACGTGGTCGCATGCAACGCACCCGCCATCCGCTTCTACCGCTCACTGTGTTTCTGTTACCGCCGCCGCCTCTCCCGCTTCTACTACCTCAAGGGGGGGGATTACGACGCGCTGCTATTTGCGCGTTACGTCAACAGCTGGTTACCACCCGACTCCAGGTGTGTTTTTTTGGGCTGGGTTGGCTGAATCGCTTGCTGTGTTGTTTGAGGCGGTCAAAAGGCAATTACTATACGATGCACTCCTATTTGCGCGTTACGTCAACGGCTGGTTACCACCCGACTCCAGGTGTGTTTCTGTTGCTCACTGTGCTTCTACTATCTCGAGGGGGCCGAGTACAATGCACTCCTCTTTGCACGTTACGTGAATGGCTTGTTACCGCCTGACTCCAGGTGCAGCTCTCCAGGGTGTGCTAGCTGACTGGCTTATTTGTTTCATTGTGGTGGAGTGTTGTTGTTTCTGCTAGTTTGTCTTGTTCTCTTGCTTGCTTACACATGTTGCATGGCACACGAACACGTACGCACACCCGCTCGCCACAACTATACATTCCCTCCCATTCACAGGCACACACATATACTTCCCAAATTCTCGGCACCTTTTTTTTTGTCAAAATACTAGGCAGGAAAATGATTGCATTGAAAGAAAGTTGGGTACAAATACTAACCCTAACATTGGGTTGTACCCCATATACGTTACCTACACACCCCCATAGGCAAAGTGGGGGAGAACAAGGGGTCACAAGACCAGTCAAGATAAACAAAACAAGCTCAGGGTGGATCACAACGTCACCACACTCTCTGAGCACAAGCAAAGGGTCATAAGACCAGTCCACAACCAGAAGTATATATGCAACAACAACAGTACAGTGATCACAAACTAGCAGAAGTAAACATGCAGGTATATAATACAACTCACAGTACAAGCAAAGTCAAGACGTAAGCAAGTGGGCAACGTAGGCACCAGGCCTAGAGTAGTGCAGAAACGCTGATGGTCACCAGGCGAAAGTGCCTTGGTGAACACATCAGCAGCAGTGTTGGCCCGAGTGGCCACGTAAGCAACACGAAGCTGACCACGCTAAACAACTCTTGAGCAAGGAAGTTGAGTGAGTACCCTCGCACGACAGGTCGAGTGAGGACAACGTCACCCCGTCCTCCAAGCACGAGCCCCATGCCCGACGTACTGCACAAGTAACGCAGTACCCTCTTCGGAGCATCCCAGTGCACCTTTCGGTGTCTACCAGGAGCCACGTAGCGTGCCAGAAGGCCAAGAGGGTACGCGAGGTCAGGACGAGTGCAGGTCATCAGGTACATGAGACAGCCTACTAACTCTGGATACGAGCCACTTGGCTCTACGGACTCATCCGAAGGCAGAGCTGAGAGCGAGTGACCAGTAGCTAGAGGAGTGGACTATGGAGAGGACCAAGTAAAGCCAAAGCGCTGAAGGACCTGCTTCACCAGAGAGTGAAGCTCGTAGTCACGCTGAGCAGCAACGTGCAGTAGCACCCGAAGAGTGGTCATCTTCGGGGTGGGGGAGAAGGTCTGGAAGAAGTCAACTCAATGTTGCTGACTGAAGCCTCTTGCAACGTAACGAGCCTTGAAGACAGGCGGAGAACCCGGCGGCCGCTTCACCCTAAAAATCCACATGCCATCGACGATGTTCGCCCCAGGAGGGGGAACCTCGTTGACGCAAGTGCCTGTGGAATTCCAGGATGTCATCTCTGCGTCCATGGCTGTCTGCCACTGAGAGGAGTAGTCACCCGAGATCGCCTCGCTGTAAGAGCGCGGGGTGGGGATGTCTGGTACATCCGGGTCTCCCTCAGGGGCAAGCAGCATGGCCACGAGATGAGGCGCAGCAGCGGCAAGACACTCAAAGTCCTCCTGCCTGTCCTCAAGGACGTCCGTGCCAAGAGCACACTCACCCCTGACGGACGGAGGACAGACAGACTCAGACTCAGCAACAAGAGCAGTGGCGTAGTCAAGACGACAGGCAGGCCTCCAGCGCCAGCGTCTCCAGCTCCTGAACCTCCAGTAGTAGGGCCTCCAGCACCAGCAGCACCACCAGCTCCAGTAGCTGTAGAACCTCCAGCACCAGCAGCACCCCCAGCTCCAGCGCCAGAAGCTCCAGGGCCTCCAGCTCCAGCAGCACCACCCTTGCAATGAGCGTACCACTCACGCAGCTGCTTTGGGGAGAGAGGCTCTCGCCGACTAGAGCGCTGCGGCGAGGCACCAGTGGGACTGCCGGAGGAAGGAACTCCAGTGCCACCAGCTCCAGCAGTGTGACTCTGAAGGCGTGCGCTCCAAGGAGACTGCTCACCAGCAGCCCCAGCACTCCCAGGCGCAGCACTCCCACGCTCAGCACCCCCTAGCTCCGCACCCTTAGGCTCAGCACCCCCAGACTCCGCACCCTCAGGCTCAGTACCCCTAGGCTCCGCACCCTCACGCTCAGCACCCCCAGGCCCCACACCCTCAGGCTCAGCACCCCCAGGCTCCGCACCCTTAGGCTCAGCACCCCCAGGCTCCGCACCCCCAGGCTCAGCACCCCAAGAAGCAGCACCCCGAGAAGGACCAACCTCAGCAGGACCTGAGTCACCAGTGACCTCGACAGGCTCAGCCAAGAGAGGAGGGTCTACCTGAGACATACCTGAAGGAGCAGGACCTGGAGGGGAGAGGGGGGTCTACCTGGGGGGGACCTGGAGTGAGAAAGAGCGGCGGGGGGGGGGAGGGGGGCAGTGCGGTAGGGAAAGAGACGGTAAAATGGGACTGACTCGTCAAAGGTGACGTCCTGAGACGCAAAGACACGGCGCGAGGCGGGGTGGTAAAACTGCCAGCCAGGCGCGTTAGGGAGAAAGCCAAGGAAGACGCAGGGAATGGCGCGAGCGGAGAGCTTGCCCGCGGTGGTATCGCGGACAAAGGCACGAGCACCCCAGACCCGGAATCGCGACACATCGCCAACCTTCCCCGTCCAACACAGTGTGGGCGAAGTCTCCGGCAAGGAGACACGGGGCCAGAGGTTGAGCTGATGCGCGGCGTACCGGTCCGCAAACGGCCACAGAAAATGGGGAGTAGCCGCATGGATCATGGAGATATGAGCGACATCCATGACTAAGCCAATGCGGCGCTCAGCAACCCCATTCTGCTGCGGTGACGACTGAAGCGTGAACGACTGGCGGATGCCCTCCTGCTGACAGAAGGCTCGGAAGACGTCGGAGGAGAATTCACCACCTTTGTCAGAGTGTAGACGCAGGACAAGAAAGTCCGAACGGAACCGCTCGCGGAGCTGGAGACAAACAGCGCGGATCCAAGGGATCAAAACAGCAGGGACCTCCCTCTTGCTGCGCAAGGGGAAGACCGTGGTATAACGCGAGAAGTCGTCGACGACCAGCAGGAAGTACCGCTCGCGGCTCTGCCCCTGGACGCGGGCTGGGCCTTATACGTCCAGGTGGAGAGTCTACAGTGGAGCCTCTGTAGGAGGGAACGAGGAGTAGCGGGCAACTACAGCGGTGTACAGTGCCTTAGCGGTCTTGTGCTAGCTAAAGTGAGTGCGCTCAGTGATCGGCAGATGATTGCGGATAGCTAGGCGCGCAACAGCTCAGCAACATCACGAGTCTGCCACTGGGAGCAAGCAAGGTTGTCAGCTGTGTCAGCAGGAACAACTGGGGAGCCAGACGTGTGATTGAACAGGGAAATACCGTCTTTGGCATCGGTCATAAGGTGTAGTCGCAAGTCGTCGAGCCACGTGGCGAATTCTATCGGGCGACCGTCAGGCTCAAACGCTAGGACGTCAAGTGTCGCCATAATTGCAGCGCAGGCTAGGAGCGGCGCACTGTCAGTAAGGGAGCGGCCGAGAAAGCGCAAGGGCGGCAAGGGCAGCTTGCGGGCGGCAGAGGGCGGCGCGCGGGCGGCAAAGGGCAGCGTGCGGGCGGCAAGGGCAGCGCGCAGGCTGCAAGGGGCGGCAAGTGGGTGGGACCGCGGGGCGGAGCGCGGGCGGCAAGGGCGGCTCGCGGGCCGCGGGGCTGCGCGAGAGCAGCGGGGGAGGTGGCGCGCGGGCTGCAGGGAAACGAGCGGGCGGGCAGAGGCTGCGCGAGGGCAGGGGCTGCACGAGGGCAGGGGCTGAGCGAGGGCAGGGGCTGCGCGAGGGCAGGGGTGCGCTGGCCGCGATTCAGCGGGCAGGCCGGTAGGGGCTGCGCAAGGGCAGGGGCTGCGCGAGGGCAGGAGCTGTGCAAGGGGGCACGCGGGGCATAGCAGGCGGCCGCGGCAGCAGGGCAGGCGGCGCACGAGGCATACGACACACGGGGCTGCGGTGCAGGCGGCGCGCGGGGCTGCAGGCGGCCGGCGGGGCAGCGCGCGGGGCGCAGGTGGGGCAGCGCGCCAAAGAAAACGCGCGCGCTGCAGCAGTGACGCAGCGCGCAGGCGGCGTGCGTGGGGCAGCGCGACTCGGGGAGGGATGGCAGAGACCTGGGAAGACCAGAGACCAAAAGGCGAGATTGCATGCCACGAAGGCGTGGCAGGGAGGGGTGACTAAGGCGGTGGTGCCAGAGGAGAGTTTGGTGCGACAGACGGCGACACCCACACGGGGTAGCTACCTGAGCGGACGCGGACAGCTGTGGAGACAAAGGGGCGTAACGTGACACAGTAGTGAGTGTGTACAGACTGGACCCAGGCTCACGTGTGAACGTGGCCAGGTGGCGGTCAGTTCGGGGGCACGTACAGATTGTTGGAAATAGAAACATAGGGAACTCTATATGCTGTTAGATTTCACTGTAGTCTTCTTTATAAGGCTCCAGGCTCTACAATAATTGTACAATTATTGTAGGAGCTGCATTATTGGAGTCTAGAGTTATGGGGGTAGAATTATTGGTACTCCTTTATTGGAGTCACCATTATTGGTAGTACAATTATTGGTGTGGATGGGTGGATATGGGCAGGGTAGCTGATAGCATAAATGCCCTGCTGTGTGATCTCATAATCAATCCAATCCATTGGGCTGAATCCTTTCAGTTGCAAGGTTTCTCTTGCTATTCTATCATACAATCAAGGCTTCCGCTACGACGGCACTGTGCCTTTCTAGCAAGGTATCAGAGCTACTCTAGGGGGCATGCTGCCGAAACTTGGTCAGAACTCTGTTACAATTCATATTGGGCAGACACATTAGCAAATTGGCATAGCAAGAGGCAACAACTGGATCAAGAC